GCGTATACGTCCGAGCCGCGCCGTAGCTGCACGAGGCGCTGGCACGGGCTCCATGAAAGCCACGGAAACACAAAGAAACTTCTCACACAACATGCTGTCACTATGACAACCAGGCAGAATCATTTAGCCCCATCTCTCGCCGTTCCGCGCCGCGCAGAAATCCAATAGCGTTTAAAGTCTTACGCAACCGGCCGCGAATATGTTCTGCAAGGCTTTTTAACACGTTCGAAATGATAATCGCAGGAGCATATGAGAATTTTCGAGTAACTCCAGGCCAGCAGTTTGTTCATTGTGAAAAATAGACACGGTGACAGAGGAGCCGTGAAGAGAAGGTGGATAAATAAAAATGTTCTTGTAAACTAAAACACGGGAAATCAACACGGGCCTGATTATTACACATGTGACGGTTTTATTTACGTGTGTGTCATTCGTTCATTCGTTTTTCAAAATAAAACCAAAAATAAGAAAAGGAAAAAGTAACTATTTTCTTCATTATTTGTCTAAAAAAACAAAAAAACTTGTAATTATTTGGGTTTTTTTCAGTTTTCGTTTACGTGACTTAAACTGCGATACTGGACAGACCCAGGACTGAACCGGGACTGAACCAGGTCTAAATCGGTCTCAGTCCTAGTCTCAGTCCCAGTCCTGGTCTGGTCCCGGTCTCAGTCCTAAACCAGAACTGAACCAGAACTGAACAGGACTAAACCAGGACTAAACCAGGCTTAAACTAGGACTAAACCAGGACTAAACCAGGACTAAACCAGGACTTGACCCAGGACTAAACCAGGATTAAACCAGGACTAAACCAGGACTTAAACTAGGACTAAACCAGGACTAAACCAGGACTTGACCCAGGACTAAACCAGGACTAAACCAGGACTTGACCCAGGACTAAACCAGGACTTAAACCAGGACTTAAACCAGGACTAAACCAGGACTAAACCAGGACTAAACCAGGACTTGACCCAGGACTAAACCAGGATTAAACCAGGCTTAAACTAGGACTAAACCAGGACTAAACCAGGACTTGACCCAGGACTAAACCAGGATTAAACCAGGCTTAAACTAGGACTAAACCAGGACTGAACCAGGACTAAAACCAGGACTTGACCCAGGACTAAACCAGTACGAAACCAGGACTAAACCGGGACTTGACCCAGGACTAAACCAGGATTAAACCAATGGACTTGACCCAGGACTAAACTAGTCACAGTCGCAGTCACGGAAGTCCAGTAAACTGGGAAACGGACCAATTAAATCCTTTTATCCATTCTTTCATTTGAAACACAAAAATCGAAAAAACTGAAAAAATCGAATCGGTTATCCGTTTTTTTTCATTTTGGTTTTGGGAGACAATAAACGATTATTTTTAGTTTTATAAACTTGTTTAAAACAACGAAATGAAAACTGAATGATACACGGATTCAGGAGGAGGACGTTTGGAAACATGCGATGACGTCCGGCGGCTCTGTACGCGGTAGTGAGTCTGACAAAATCTATGAAAAATGAGAAAATGACCCAGTTTTTCTTCAGCTAATGAACAATTTTAACCATGCCTCAGTTTTTATCAGGTAACAACCGTTTCCGTGACTTAAACTGCAATGACGGACTGAACCAGGACTAAACTAGGACTAAAACAGGACTAAACTAGATCTAAACCAGATCTAAACCAGAATTGAACCAGTGACACAAAACTCCGAGCGCTCTGGGTACATGCGATTAGAAGAGACGAGGCGCCAAATTCATGATGACTCTAAAGTCTTCATTTTACTGCTGATCACATTTACTTCCGTGGGTGTCTGAGCCCAGTGTCGGGAACTACACCCGTAGTTGTCGTTGCATGTTTTCAAACGTCTTCTTGGTTTGAATAAAGCCTATTAACGTGGATTACACGCCTAAATTCTGCCCACAACCACATTGTAAATACAGCTGCTGAACTGAGCAGCACCTGGACGACTAAAGAAAACACTGTGGGAAAAGTCTGGGTGGAGTCTAGACAAATAAAGAACAGTGTGATTGGTCAAACAGGTGTTCACGATTCAAACTCCGCCCCTCGATCACAGCCAGGTGTTTGTATCTGAAACACCTGGGCAGTCCTGCGTGATGTCACATAGTACTTGAAATCACAGAAGCCAATGAAGGCACCACAAACGCGAGATTTAGACATTTTTGACAAAAAAATAGCAAATTTTACCTAGTTTAGACAAAAAATCCAAAAGATAGCAGTGTAGATAATGTATTCAATCACCATATACACAGTTTAATAGCGAAAAATGTGAATTTAGTATTTGGTTCCACTTTAAAAGACTTATAGTATAGTACAGTATAATATAATATAGTTTTACTATATTATAAAATATAAAATAAAATGTATTGTATATTTTATTACTTATTGTTCTATTTTATTTTGACTTGTACATATACATTTATATATTTATGCCTTATTTGACACTTGTCTCTTGCTGTTTTTGACTACTTATTTAATTTATTTTTGAACATTTATATGTTTTACTCTTTGTCATACATATTACATCACATATTATACTGTGATGTGTGAGCTATTGTGTCCAAATAATTTTGCTTGTGGATCAATAAAATTCATCTAAGTCTAAGTCTAAGATGTTTGTATCTGAAACACCGGGCTGTGATCAAGGGCAGTCCTGCGTGATGTCACATAGTACTTGAAAACGCAAAGGCAACTGAAGGCACCACAATCACAAGATGTAGACATGTTTGACCAGAAAACTGCAAATTTACCTTGTTTACACAAAAAAATTACAAAAGATAACTAAAAACAGTTGCCTAGATAATGCTATTGAATCACCATATACAGTTTAGGAGCAAAAAACGTGGATTTCGTGTTTAGTTCCACTTTATAATGCAATATAACACAGTATAATTTACGTAACATTACTTTATTATATTATTATTACTATTATACTATATACTATACTGTTATTAATTTGCTCTTTTTGGTTACTTATTTTGATTTTTTAAATTTGCACTTATATACTGTTTACACTTTGTTATTATATTATATTGTGACGTTTGAGCTACTGCGTCCAAATATTTTCCCTTGTCGATCAATAAAGTTTGTCTAAGATGTTTGTATCTGAAACATCGGGAAGTGATCAAGGACAGTCCTGCGTGATGTCACATAGTACTTGAAATCACAGAGGCCACTAAAAGCACCACAAACATGAGATCCAGGACCAGAAAACTGCATATTTACCTAGTTTACACAAAGCAAATTTCAAAAGACAGTAGCCTAGATAAAGGTATTCAATCACTATACACAGTTAATACCAAAAACTTGGATTTAGTGTTTAGTTCCACTTTATAATGCAATATAGTATAATTTGACACCAACATAAACAACTGGCCTAAGATGATTGTGTAGCTGGGATTGATATGTTATTACACATTTTTCTATTTTATTTTGACTGGTACATATATATTTATATAATTATGTCTTATTTGACACTTGTCTCTTGCTCTTTTTGGCTACTTATTTAATTTATTATTAACATTTATATGTTTTACCCTTTGTTATTATATTATATTGTGATGTGTGAGCTATTGTGTCCAAATAATTTCCCTTGTTGGTCAATAAAGTTCGTCTAAATGATCAAGGGCAGTCCTGTGTGATGTCACGTAGTACTTGAATTCGCAGAGGCCACTGAAAGCACCACAAACATGAGATCTAGGACCAGAAAACTGCATATTTACCTAGTTCACGCAATAAAAATACAAAAGATAACTAAGAACAGTAGCCTAGATAATGCTATTCAGTCACTATATACAATTTTATACAGAAAAACGTGGATTTCGTGTTCAGTTCCACTTTATAATGCAATATAATATAGTATAATTTGATAAGTGGGAATTAATCACCAACATAAACAACTGGCCTAAGGAATCTGATGTAATTCCACGTGTTGCGGGAGCAGTGTGCACATTTCTCCCTCTTTCTGCACAGCCTACGTGCAGAACAGTCATCTGGGAGCAACCAACAGTTTGAGAGAAAGGAGCAGAAATTGTTAATGGCCGAACCGTGTGTGTGTGACTGCTTCTTGCTCCTTCCTTCTCTGGATTTTTTTTTTTTTTTTTTTTTCTAGTTTGCTTCGCGTGCTATCACAGAGACGCTTCCCTCTCGTATCAATGCGTGATTGAAGGAAACTTCTTTTGGGAAGTGCTGGGACTACTTTACGCCAACTTGGGAGAACGAATATCCAGCTTTTTCGCGTTTAGAAGCAAAACCGAACCGATAGTATTTCCTTGTGATTTCTTTTTATGTTACAGTCGAAGTTTGGCGTGTCGAAAGTGAACGTTTTATCTAAAAAGTTGCCTGTTTTAACGACGTCGCGGAAGGATCTAATTTTCTCAAGCCGACGCGACACATCCGCCCAGTTTTCCGATGTTTCATTCCCCCCCGAGTTGAAAATGGAATAAAGCGCACGTCCAGCAACTTCTCTCGGAAATAACTCGCATTTTAACCCATTTCCCGGCGGTTATAACAGGCGAGAATCCACCTTCGGGACCGCTGGATGCCTTTACTGCCGCGGACCGTACCGGGGAACGAGTGTACGCCGCCGTTTTCCAACTGTTATCCCAGAAGAAGCGAAGAAGAAGAAGAAGTTGGATGCTCCGGTAGAAAACGAGCGACGAGCGGCGAGCCACACGTCCCATCCGAGTTCCGAGTTCCGAGTTGAACCGATCCGAGACGTGCATTTCATTTTTATTTTTTATTTTTTTTTAAAACACGCCGCTTTTACGGATCTTACAACCCGGATTGCGAGCGAAGGGGGGGATGCGTTGCGGGAGACGGGGACGATGCCGCTGGGTCGCTCATGGCGCCGGGATTTGACTTCCACGGAGGATAAAATGAATCAGCGGTTGTCATTCCCACTCGTCGCGATTTAACACTTAAGTTTGGACCGAGCGGGGGGCTTGCACTTGCTTGCACTTGGGGCGGGAGGGGGGGGCGGGGGGGGGGAAAAGAACGATACACCACGACAGGCATGCCCCATTACCGTGCAGCTCACCCGCACTACCGAAACCATAGGTAAAAATGGTGATATTTGAGGTATTTTGTCCCGCTGTCACTGCGTCGTCGATGCCATTGCTAAGATTTGGAACCCCGTGAGGAAAAAAATGAGCGAAGAGTCAACAAATCCAAACAACGAGTAAGTTCCCTGCTATTTTGTGCTTTTATTCTATTTTCTTGCACTGGTAACGCATGAAAAATGGCTTTATTATGTAAGCTCCGTATCGTAACAGTGTCTCCTACGTACCCCACGCGGACATTCCTGCATTTATTCACGTTTATTCGCGTAGTGTTGTTTTTATAGCTTCATATCTTGTAGAAATCGAAGACATGCACTCCATTAATAGCTGTTTTAGACTCTATTTGTAGCGCAGGCCTACGCTGGAATGTGCATATCTTGTAAACAAACTGTCTGGGAAATATAATAATTCATGTTTTCACTCTCGTAACCAGTTTATTTTTATGTGTAATGCGTAAACTTGTAATTACAGACATACGTGCGAGCAAGGGAAAGGTTAAGGGATTGACTAAAGATGCATTTCTGAAGTGTGTGGGGTCTATTCTGAAGATTATACTAAAAATAATATTGCATTCATAACGCTACTTAATCGTATTCGCGGGTCAAGAGTTGTTTCTAGGCAGCTACGGCTATTTTTTAATTACTGCAAAGGAACAGGAAGCTTACGTGCCTTTTAAAATCGTGAATGTTACACGTGAACTGCTAATGTCTTTCTTAACGGGCTATTTATCTCGGATACAAAGTACGACGCTGCTATCTTGCGTGCCATGTCATTTCGCCCCATTGTGCGAACACATCACGAGCAGCAGACGGCGTTTTATTCGCTCGCTCGTTCGTTCGTCCGCCATGATTTCTCCACGAAACCATCTCATCTAACTCCTCGTTTTTTTGCTATGCCGTGTGCCAAAACCCCCAAACACGCGTGCGACCCGGACGGCACCGACCGACCGACCGACGCGCCAATATCTGCGTCAAAACGATCCGAAGATGCCTTGTTTTTTTTTTTTTTTTTTTTTCTCAATCACGCTCATTTACATATCACAATCCCCATTCATAAAATAAGCGTTAAAATGCAATGCGGTGACGAAGGCGCGGTGCCGGTCGATGCGCTACGATCTCAAATTGACGTAAATGTTTGGTTGGGGTGTATGGCGTTAATTTTAGCGTGGTATTTCGGTGTATTTTTAAACCGGGGCTGCTCCTCTCTGTGCGCGCTTGTTGACAGCCAGTGAGAAATATGTGCTCGGGGGGGAGGTCACGTGATCCGCTCCATTCATAAAGTACCTGCCTGTCTGCTCATTCACACACTGCACTGTACACGGGCCCTGATCGCGTTTCCTGCCTTTGTGCCACGACGTGTTACTGCAAATTAAAAAAAAAAAAAGAGAGTCTATGTCAGTGCACGCTCGCTTAACCATGCCATAAAAATAGCTTCCACATTGAGACAAGCTTCGTTTTTTTTTTTTTTTTTTTTTTTTTTTTTCGCTCGTATAATGTATTTTGTCAGAGAGGAAGTCATATTTTCTACTCGGGCTTTTTTCCACTCGTGTCGCGTTCCGTTCACACACCCATGTTTGCACCCCCCCCATGCATCGATCCGGCTATTTAGCATTGATTTGATGCATGGAGGCTTTGTCCTTGAACTATTCCAGTATTCTTTTATGTAACAGGCTCCCAGTACAATAGGCCTACAAATAAAATCCGATTACTCATAGATACGGTGGGTACATACTCCAGGTACGATGGTGTGTCCGGAGTCATGATAAATTGCGTTTTGTGTGTGTGTGTGTTTTTCATGTAGGTTTTTAAAGTGATGAGCAGGCGAGGGTTTGTTCGACGCTGCATGATGACGGCCGCAGCTAAGATGGCGAGGCAGGCCAAATATTGTTGCTATGATTCCACCACCTCGCTGCCTCTCGTATGATTCATACAAATGCAACTCAAATCTGTTATCTTCTAAATACGGCGCTTCGTTTTGGACGTTCTCACTGCGTTTTTTGCGGGAAATAAAAGGTCCTGTATTACACAAAACGGATTCTTGTGAGGGTTTTAAGCGGCGTTATAATGTAATATAATCTTCAAAAACATACCTGCAGTTTTGTTTTGTTTGTTTTTGTTTCATTCACACGGTTATTGAGTGATGATACAGTATCGATATCGTGGTCTGAAAGTATTTTTTGGTATGTTTTACTAAATTATTTTGTTACAGGGCTACAGTTTTGTTGCTTCTTCAGAGGAAGGAAACTTATTTATGCGACACATTTGATATTTTCACTGTTATAACTATTAAAATGTTTGCGTTTCGTATGAACTTTGCGCAAGAAGTGGTTTAACAAAGACTTCAGACGTTATTTTTTATTGAACCATATCGAATTGATTTGAAATATATTGAATCGAAAGCTCACTGTATCACGATATGTATGATATCGTGGCCTATGTATCGAGGTATGTATTGTATCGGCAACTTCTTAATGATACCCAGCCCTATTTATTTGACATTTTCACTGTTTTGATGATTAAAATGTTTGTGTTTCATATGAACTTTGCGCAAAAAAGTGGTTTAACAAAGACTTTTAGTGTCACAGCCATGATTTAGACTTTATTTTTTACTGAACTGTATCGAATCGATTTAAAATATATCATATCGAATCGAAAGTGCACTGTATCGAGTACCCAGCCCTAGTTCCAGTGGTTGTTTTCAAGTTTTTGTACCGTAGCGATTGTCAATTCCAGGGTAGAAATCATCCAAATAATTCGAGTGAAGATGGAGTTTACAAACACAGTAGAACACTTCCTGTATTACCGCATGACATCACAAGGTGGAACAGCGTGTCTTCAGTTTCAGAGAAGAACTAAATGGCCTAAATATGCTGCGTTTGTGTGTTTTTAATCGTGTGAATGAAAAAACACAACTCCAGGTGTGTTTTTGATGAAGTATGTCATTTTTAGGCCTGGGTATCATTAAGAAGTTGCCGATACGATACATACCTCAATACAGTGCACTTTCAATTCAGTACGATATATTGCGACTCGATTCGATATGGTTCAATAAAAATAAAGGCTAAATCATGTCTGTACTACTAAAAGTCTTTGTTAAACCACTTCTTGTGCAAAGTTCATATGAAACACAAACATTTTAATCATCAAAACAGTGAAAATGTCAAATAAATAAATAGGGCTGGGTATCATTAAGAATTTGTCGATACATAGGCCACGATTCGATACAGTGAGCTTTCAATTCGATACGATATATTTCACATAGTTTCAATACGGTTCAGTGAGAAAAAGGCTAAATCATGTCTGTGATACTAAAAGTCTACTAAGTTTGTGCAAAGTTAATATGAAAAACATCAATTTTACTGATCAAAACAGTGAAAATTTCAACACTTTTGTAACGCTTACACAAAATAATTCAGTAAGATATACCAAAAAATACTCCTGGCGATATATCAGATACAGCAGTGCACGATATCGATACTGTAATCTTCAAATTAAATGATACTATATAGTGATATTTTGATATTTTTGCACACCCCTACAAATAAACGAGTTTCCTTCCTGTCAACGAGCAACAAAACTGTAGCTGTAATAAAACAATTTAGTAAAATATAAGAAAAAAATACTCTTGGCGATATATCGATACAGCAGCCCATGATATCGATACTGTACCATCAAATGAAATGACACAATATTACGATATTTCAATGTTTTTGCACAACCCTACAAATAAACAAGTTTTCTTCCAATAAACAAGCAGCAAAACTATAGCTGTAACAAAATAATTTAGTAAAATATACTTAAAATTACTCTTGGCGATATATTGATACAGCAGCCCACGATATCGATACAGTATCATCACAGTAAATGATACGATATTTGAATATTTTTGCACACCCCTAAAAATAAATGAGTTTCCTTCCTCTAAAACAAGCAACAAAACTGTAGCTGTAACAAAATAATTTAGTAAAATATACGAAAAAATACTCTTGGCGACATATCGATACTGTATCATAGCATTAAACTATACGATATTTCGATATTTTTGCACACTCTTAGTCATTTTCGATATAACAATATTAGGTAATTTCAAAAGTCTTTTTTTTATTTATAAATTTATATAACACTGAAATTTTTTGCTTTTAAAGTTGGTTGATTTGTGGCGGTAAAAACAATCTAGAGCACAATTTTTTTATTCTGGTTTAGGCATTGCAGCCAAAAGGAAGATTCTGTTTTGTTATTGTTATGAAACACTTTCAGGTGTTTCAAATATGACTGTACCAAAGGCTTTTCAGAGTGTTGTAGTGTAAAATAGTTTCATGGCATTTCCAACGTGCTTAAGCTTCCGCCGTGAATCATCAAATATACCATAATATGACGTAACGTTGTAAAATAAAATGTATTTATCGTTGCAGGATGGTCATTTTTAACTCTGCGTGAATTAGGATTTCGTCGCTTTTTTGATTTTGAGTGAAACGTGACTGTAAATTTGTAATGCTGTCGTGTTTATTTTTATTTTTAAGCACTGTTGTAGTTGTTTCTGTTTATTAGAATCCACGAAATGAGCGTCTCGTGTGCGTGACAAGATTGTAGTTTTGTCTAAATTGCGGGCAGAAAAAGGCGAAGTAGGATTCACACCGAAAGCTCCGGTGGGAAAATGTGTCGGCCTTGATGTGTCTTGTCTGGGACCTGATACCGGCGGCTCCATCATTTCGCTTTGTGTTGTCTCTTGGTTCGTATTTTTTTCCGCACCGAAGCCGTTTTAGCCAACGTAAATAATGATAGCGCTTAAATATCTGTTGTCGATTCATCTCTGGAGGTGTGATGTCACGATTCTTGACTAAAACCAAGAAGTAGGAAACCGAAAACCACATGACTGAATAGTGTACATAGCAGAACAGTTGTCAGTTCCAGTAAATTCAGATGTGTTGTGGTGCTTTTCTCATGCCTCAAATCAGTGGGTTTTGACTAGATGCAGTTTCTATTTAGACTTTTTTTTAGAGCTGTTTTTTTTTTTTTTATACTTGGTTCTGGTTAAGTCCTCACTCTGGTGGGACTTGTACAGCAGCATGTAGAAGAGTTTCATCATTTAACCGTCTGAACCAGGTCTGAACCAGGTCTGAACCAGGTCTGAACAGGACTAAACAAGGTCTAAACTAGGTCTAAACCCAGATCTGAACCAGGACTAAACCAGGTCTAAACTACGTCTGAACTAAATCTGAACAAGACTGAACCAAATCTAAACCAGATCTGAACCAGGTCTAAATTAGGTCTGAACCAGGTCTGAACCACGTCTAAACTAGGTCTGAACCAGGTCTAAACTAGGTCTAAACTAGGTCTAAACTAGGTCTAAACCAGGTCTAAACCACATCTAAACTAGGTCTGAACCAGATCTGTACAGGACTAAAGAGGTCTAAACGAGATCTGAACCAGGACCAAATCGGGTCTAAATAAGGTCTAAATAAGGTCTGAACTAGATCTGAACAGGACTAAACCAGGTCTAAACCAGATCTGAACAGGACTAAACCCAAGTCTAAACCAGGACTGAACAGTGATAAACCAGGTCTAAACTAGGTCTAAACTAGATCTGAACCAGATCTGAACAGGACTAAACCAGGTCTGAACCAGGTCTGAACCAGAATTAAAACCAGATATAAACAAGGTCTAAACCAGATCTGAACCAGGACTGAACCAGGACTAAACCAGGACTAAACCAATTCTAAACCAGGTCTGAAACAGGTCTAAACCAGGTCTAAATCATATTAAATTAAATAACGCACACTAAATCATATCTAGAAACGCAAATGTTCAAATAATTTAATATTGTCAACCCAAATCTTTTGACACTTGTCTTACAGTGGGATGAGGAACCAAAACTTCTTCAATAAAATATTACTTATTTATTCAAGAGTAAAAGTTTGCAGCTTGAAAAGTACAATTTGTTTAAAGAGTTACTCCAGTAAATTGAACTGAGTACTACCCACCTCTGGTCACATAAGTTAAAATGACATTATGATTCTAGAAATAAATGTTACGTATGTTTTGTGATGTTATTCCATCAAAATGAGCTGAATTCCAAACCTTGTCAGTGTCGAACGTTAACAAACGAGCTGAAATAAGATGGCAGAATGTGCACAGCCTGTTGCGAGCGAAGCGAAGTCTGACATGCAGAGTTAAGATGGCCTGATTGTTTGAGATTCCTGCAGCGCTGTGCTTTTGTCTGTTGCCAGTCAGGTGATCCGCCGTGATTTCCCCCTTTCCTCTGTCCCCCTCCTTCCTATCTGGGTGATTGATTTGACAGCTCAGCGTTTTATCTGCCAATGTGGGTGTTGCGATCTTATCACCTGGAGGCCCGCGTTACACTCCCATTCCTCCAGCCAAGGCCTCTTTAAAAGGGGCCCTAGTCGAGTCAAGACGATTTTGGTCGACTAAAAACATGTTCTGCTGATCAATTAGTCAAAAAAACAATTTAATATCTATACTCAAACCTGTATCTGACACAAACTGCGCTCAAAACAAGCCTTAACTGCAGCGAAAACGATTATTTACACAGAAAAGAACGAGGTAACTTTTAATTTGGATGAAAAAATGTGATCACAATTCACTTCCGATTCAAATCCCAAATCTTTATCTCACAACATATCTTGCTGTTGCTGCTATTGTCCCATTTAATCTTTAAATTACCCATATTATTTTCTGTTTTGATCTGTTTTATATTGTTTCCTCATGACAAACATACTGTATTTTTCAGAATATAATGCGCAAAATATCAATAATGCTGAATTTTCTCCTCTATTTTCATACAAAAGGTGCACCAAATTATAAGGCGCATTAAGCGAAACAAACGGACGACACTTTAAACTTGAGACTTTTTTATTTTCTACTAGAAGGACTCAAATATACGTGGTGTAATAATGTGTTTAAAGCATCTTTGCGCACATTTGTTTACGTTTTACAGAAACAAAACTTAAAACCACATGACTCATTTGCGTAAACTATAAGCGATTTAAAAAAACAAAAAAAAAAAAACAGCTCGCTCCTTGTGCGCTGATACGGTACAACTTCTGTCGGACTAAAGACCACAACTCGGTGGCATATATGTGTGAAAATCGGTTGGGGTTGGTAAGCACAACCAGAATTAATCCGTAATGCGCACGGGATTTTAAGGCGCACTGCCGATTTTTCAGAAAAGTGTGCCTTATAGTCTGAAAAATACGGTACTTGGAGCTGTGTTTTGTTTCGTTTACACGTTTAACACACAAATCCTGCACATTTAGGCTCTTAGGAGTTCACTGTTCCACTTTGTGACATCTTGTGGTAATACAGGAAGTGCTCCGTTGTGTTTTTAAACTCTCATACGCCTTTTCTAGAATCATTTGGTTAGTTTCAGCCTTGGAATTTCTAATCTGTACTTGATAAAAACAAGACAAGGTGGAAGAAAACATTCTGAGTTGACTAAAAATGCAGGATTACTCAAACAAAACACAACTCCCGCCTCCTTACTCTAGAAATCACGCTTGTTTACAGTCAGTGCAGAATTACTGTTGAAGTTTCCTGTCTAGAAGTAATTTTTGCAACCGACGCATCAGTTTTTAGACCCTTCCTCTGCTTCAGTCGCGCCATCGCTGGAAGGAATCTCCAAGAATCGCCTCAGTTTGGCTTTGCTCCATTTCCCCTTCTCTTCTTCTTTCAGCGACCTCAAAAACGGACTTTCTTTTGCGGCGAACTGGTCGTGGATTCTCGTCTGCCACCTCAACAAAATTTGTGCAAAGTGCGAGGAAGCTACAGTTTGAAAAAGTTTCTAAGAACCGCTGCATAAAGCATTTAATCCCCACACGCTGGCGAGTCAATTACACTAGGGAGTTTGATTGACAACCCAACAACCAATAGATAAAGAGGTAGTCTCGTTATCTATTGGCTGATGTTTATCTGGCCTCACTACGTCCACATTTGCTAGATTTTCATTCTTCTTTTTTTTTTGGTCATCGTAATTACAAAGCTGCTGCGTCTCTGTAAGGGATTTTTAAACTTTCATTGACAATTTTAAACTAAACACAAACAAAAAAAAATCCTTCATTCAACCTTTAAAGCTCGCAAGAAGCAATATAGGACCTTTTAAAATCAAGACACAATTGACTGATTTGTAGACTGAACAACTTAAAGACTTCAGCCCTACTTCCAGATACATTCCTCAGACCTCCGTTCCCCTTCTCCCTCCCGCTTGTACAACCCCCATGCGGCGTGTCCTGACAAAAGCGTGACTTCAGCTGTTATAGGCCAAAGCTTTATGGCTGGGGTAATTGCCTATATCCTGTAGCCCTCATGTTAAGCTAAATAATTTCCTGAAGCTCTTTATAGATGGTATTATTGCTGCTTGTTGAACAGGGCCTCTCCGGAGTTGTCGGTTTACTAGCTGGATTAGTTGTAGCTGGCGACACCGCTGCGAAGCTCGGTGCGTTTTCAGTTTTGCTTCTGTTTTCTTTTAGGGAAGTGTTAACTTATGGGCTGCAGTGGTTCTCAGACACCATTGAAAAGCGTTACTGGCTATTTTTACGACGGTGCGTTTGATTATTTTTTGTGCAAACTATGAAGTATGTGCAGCATTTTAGTACGACGTCTGTGTGTTTTTTATGAGTTGTGACAGGGATCCCTTTTGTTTTTTTTAGGAAGAAGCTTTAATTTACTTCAGCATGTCGAGCCAGAACCAGGTCCGTTTCATTCCTTGGACACTTTTGGTCCTAGATTGTGTGTATTTTAAATTTGAGACACTTCCTGTTCATAATTTTCATTTCCCCTTGCGCATTTCAAAGTATGAGAAGTGCTAGTGCTTATTGGAGTTGTATGTGAACGAGACCGTTGTGTTCAAATATCTTACAGTTGTTTTGTTGTCGTAGCAGACAAACGGAGTACAACTGAAGCAACCCGGTCAACAAAAGTGCAAAGGTGGAGCCTTGTGAAATTGCTTGTGGTGGAAATGACAAACTAAATACAAAGCACTGTATCTGAGTTTGGCCAATAATATCAATGAACAACATCTGCAGAAGGTGTTTCATTTGTGTGAGGAAAACAAAACAAAACGTGGCTGTTATTCGTATAAAATTGAAGGCTGGTTTCAGAGCGATATTCTCTATAGACGTCATGATTTAATGACCTTAAGAACATCTTCAAAGTTTGCCCTATAGAATAAGAACAGGACTTGGAATACAACGGAGCTAAAATGCCCTAAAGTAGTTGTCATGAGCTTTGTCAAAAGAACAAAAATCTAGATTTTGGCAAACAGGGTTTAGCTGTAAAATAGGGACCATGTTGTCAACAAAACTGTCCAGTTTCCATGGCAATACTCGGTGTGGTACTCATGTATTTGAGAGGAAAAACATTTTCAAAGTTTGATTACAGACTTGTGAAACGTTATGTGAGCATCCAGGGTTTTCTGGATTATTCTTCGGTGTGCTGAATGAATCTGAGAATTGACCTAAAGTAAACAGTCAGGTGTTGTATGTTTAAGTGGCCTATCTCGTGGAAATATGAGGGGTGCATTTAGGGAAACTCGTACGGATTGATAACCTGCAACTATTATTAGGATTATTTCACCAGGAATGTGCAGGAGTTTGTTTTGTTTTTTTGTCCAGGAGTTAACCCCAGGACCTTCTTGCTGTGAGGTGTTAGCTCTGTTATTCCTCCCCCCACCTTTTTTTTTTTTTTTTCCACCTTGACTTTTATGTCGTGTAGAGCCACTGTCGTCCATGACCACATCACAGTTCCTCTGAGAAGTGTGTTTAAAAACAAGCTTGTGAATCGTGGATATTGTTGGGGTTACATTCCATGCATTTGCCCGAAGACTAAGCCTTAGTTGTTGGGAGCTCTTGGCTGCAGCTGGCCTAAGATAGTTCTCTCCTTGGAGGCTGCACACATAAAAGGCCACAGATGTAAATCCTAAACCTTGTGTTTTCCATTGAGTTCCTTTGAAAGCAGGAAGAGGGTTCAGGCCTGTGCATCTGTGTGGTTCCACTCGGGAACATTTGGCACATGTGCGTGTCTGAAGGATGGGCCTGGGTCTCACACTTGTAGCAGAGTAGAAAAGTAGAAAAATGTGAATGTGAGATTTGATGAACTATTGCATCAGAAATATATCAATGCATAGTTTTAGCTTAAGTTTGAAATGTGCTAAATGTGGAGTGAAAGTCTTCTAAGATCCAAGGCGCGGTGTTTTCTGACCTGATCTGTTTTTACATTTAATATTTATATAATTATAGCCAGAATGGAATATTTAAACGTTATAAACAAAAGTGAATAGGCCTGATTCATCAACTGGTTTTACTTCGTTTCAATTCGTACAAACCGTCTGACCTCGCAGCCTTAGATTTCATTCGCTCGACGGTAGGCAGGTACTTTTAATCATTTAACCAATCGCTGCTGTTTGGTCATCACGTATGTCATTAAACTTTTCCGTAATCCTGTAGGAAGAAGGACAATAACGTCTTTCCCGTTGATAAAATTCACCAAACATTCTCTTTATTTCGACTTTAAATCCTCGATCTCGGGAATCGTTGATAACACTGAATATATGACTCTTCACTGATTGGCTGGTACCTGAACTCGCGCTTCTGTGGTTTTTGCGAACTGTCTATTGTATTTTGATTCCTGACCTAGTCGCTGGAGAGAAATGAAATTGAGCGGAGCCTGACTAGGTGGGCCCACCTTCACCCACAATTTCAGTAGTGTTGAGCATGTTTTAGGTCAGGGGAGGCGAGTTCCACAGTCTAGACTCCTTGAAAGAAACTGGACTGTCCACAGGGTGTTTTTAAACTCCACTGTCCCTCCGGAGTGTGGTTCTGGTGTTGGGTGTGAGAGAACCCTGAGGCCCGGCTGCCAGACCAGAAAACAGCTGTCTGACACATGATTATTTCGACGTTCACCTGACTTGGATAATGTTCTTTGTCATGCCCATGGACACAGTGGCAGTATGCGATTGTTGAAGCATTGAATCCGCAATTGTGCCTGACTTTTCGGATTTGACAGATTTGGAAAATATTGGGTGGCTTTAGCTTGTTTTGTTTTGAATTATTGTCACGATACTATAAATACTTTCTATAAATACTGTAAATTTCGATACCAAGGAATAGACTTGATACTAAATATAGATTCCGATACACGATACAAAAAAAAAAAAAGTCATATTTAGACAATAGAAAGTTCTTTTCAACATTACAACTTTTATTTGTAGTACTAATATTACCGTGTGGCCACAAATCTTTGTTTGGCTCAGATGTTCAGTTCCGTAATTTAGTATATGAAATGAAAGTCATGCACTTTCATTTCAAAATCAAAAGTTTTAGACTTTTAGATGGATCTAAGGTTTTCAAAAACCCATGGATACAAGTTGGGGGGCTCAAATTCAAAATGGCCCCTTCCCAAACAAGAAAAGGTTATATCTCCGCTTCCTTTAGTCTTAAATTATTGTGTAATGTGATTTTTCTACTTTGTTTGATAAAATCAGTCCAATTCTGAAATGTTCTTCTTATTTTTAGTCAATTTTTAATATTAAATCTGTTATCATGGTCATATTTAACTAAAATAAACTGTGAATATCTCTGAAAAATTCACATTTAAATATTACTCAGGGCCCTAGACCAGTGGTGGGCAAACTTTTTGACCACTTTTTTTACTTGTTCTGATACAGCTGAAGATCTTTCTAAAGCTGTTCAGGAAAGGTTCATTTCTAAAAAAACGTAATTTTTAGCTGATTTTCGATACTTACTATGGAGTGCATTTAAACCGTATTTGTCTAACTCTTGATCACATTTAGCCTTGTCTTGTGTCTATATTTAGCACTTGAAATGGGGCTTTTATTGGTCTTATGAAATAGTCGAGGTTTAATTTAAGTCTGCTTTTCAACATTCTGTTAAGGAGCATTGTTCAGACCGACACCGCTGCGTGCTGCTGCTGTGAGGGTTTGTCGGACAGGCCTCAAGCCTCCCTCATCTTGGTTTGGTGGTTTCTTGAAATTGGTAGATGTTTGTCCCACAGCGAGATGTCTACTTCTGATTTTTATGGCCCTCTTGGGTGCACTATCACATCAAACGCAGAGCGAGGACGCCACAAGGAGTGCATATCTGCGGCAAGTTTTTAATTTTCCAAATACTTGCGGTTTGAATCACTATCATTTCAATATGTGGCCTTGATTGATGTACGGGATCAGTCTTTTGGGCATTTGATACAAGGAGATTCATCTGACTTATACTGTCACTGCTCCTGGGGTCTCAGTTTTGGTTTTGGAGGAATGTGATTGATGTATTTTTTTGTCCAGTTTTGACCAGTTTTATTTTGAGAAGAAATGGGGGATATTAACTACTAACCTTACTTACCTTTTAATGTTTTGAAAATTCTATATGCACTGAAAACAACCAGTGTTGGGGAGTAACAGATTACATGTACCGGAGTTATGTAATCAGAGTACAAATTATGAGTAACTGTGTTCAGTTACAGTTACTCTTTCAGTGAGTGGTAATTGGATTACAGTTACTTTGTTGAAGTAAATGGATTACACAGAGGTATTTTCCTGTTTTCACATTTTGGGCTAAATCCCTATAATTTTTATTTTATTTTTTTCTGGTAATTCCACTCATTGCTGGACAATAAACCAGGTCTAAACCAGATCTAAACTGGGACTAAACCAGGACTAAAACCCTGTCTAAACCAGATCTAAACTGGGACTAAACCAGGACTAAAACCCTGTCTAAACCAGGTCTAAACTGGGACTAAACTAGTACTAAACCAAGACTAAACCAAGACTAAACCAGGACTAAAACCAGGTCTAAACAAGGCCTAAACCAGGACTAAAACCAGGACTAAAACCAGGACTAAAACCAGGTCTAAACCAGGTCTAAAACAAGGACTGAATCATGCTGCATGGACCGTGTGTCTTCGTCTTCTATCAATAATATTTTTAATTTGGTTCAGTAAAGTCTGGACTTTTTAAAATGTTCTTTTATCAGACAAAACTTCTTATGTTACGATTTCCTCGTCTTTGCTTCTCTACAGCAAATCAAGTAATCCAAAGTATTCAGATTACATTACTCACTTTAAGTAATTTAATGGATTATGCTACAAACTACATTTTGAGGTATATAATCTGTAATCTGTAGGGGAATACATTTTAAAAATCACCTTCCCAACACTGAAAACAACTTATTAACATGTTTAATGAGTTTCACTTTTGTTTTTGACGTTCTGAGAGTCCCCTCCCGTGGCTGTTTGTGCTAAGTCACTCCTCCTTCAGAGCACTATCACAACACAATCAGCATGCATCCCTCTAATGAAACCGCTGCACATCGCATCAGGTTTGTCGAAATTGTCGTGCTTATGCGTATTTATGGAGAATTACCGTGTGGGAGCGTGGCTGACGTAGGCTTGTGGGCTGAACAGTGCCTGGGAGAGATCACTAAATGATTGAAAACATGCGTGGATGACATTTTAAAGGCATGTTTTTGAAGTAACAACAGCTTTATAACATGGTAGAAAGCTTAAAAAAAGGATTTAGCCTCTTTAAGCGACTTAAATATACAGTATGTTTGTTCATTTTGATTATTTATGTTGCTTGATGGTCTTTCCTTTCTCCTGAATAATGTTTTTTTGTGTTGTTGTTACTCTGTAGTAGTATTTTTCCAGATAAAACGTCGCAAACTCCCGCCATTCATCTGGATTTTGT